ATACAATGTAGACTATTTCAGAGATCCCTACACGCAAGACAACAATCTACCACTGGGTCGCATGGCACAAGCGTTTACGGCTCGTGGCACGCTGTCGGACCGCCGGCGTGTTTCTCTCGGCACTGACGGACCGCTAGAGTCCCATCAGTGGCCCGCCGATGCTTGTCACTAGATGCCCGGGCCACTAGCGGCTTGGGTGTAGGGTTTATGGAGATATGTTGTCAAGATAACAGTTAACGCTAGAATTGAAGAGGTCTGGGATTGTAGTGATCGGGGAAGCATCCTCTTGGGAGTCTTTTTAAAATGCAGCAGTTCGTAGGAAGGAGCTCCTTCTGTGGATCTTTCATCCCACTGATGGAATACGAAAGGGAATGAGTATGGTTTGATACAATGTGCGTGGTTTTTCGGGTCTTAGCTTTGAATGTTAGAACTGATGTAACTAAGGAACTGGAAATAAGTGATAAAGTTTGTGACGTTGTCGTCTGTATGAATGGAGTTCTAGGGTGGAAAATCTTCCACTAGGATCCCGATACTTTTTTGGACTTGAAAGGGAAACATATGCAGCTACTGCACATATATGGCATCAGTATTCCATATTGGTTTGATACCGGTCTTGTAACGTTAGAGGAAAGCAGGAGGAGTTTCGTTTCTTACTGGAGAGGTATAGAGTACTGAAAATTTTTCCAGCATCTGTCGAGGGATCGTACGTACGAGATGCAATTGAAGTCTGGGATGGGTTTAACTGAGTCTCACTGAGATAATACCCGTTAATGTAGTCGAACATTCGGGGCCCGATAGTGGAAAAAAAATCAAATTCTAAAAAAAACGTCGTTTGGTATAGGAACAAAAAAAACAACAGCTGTCAGGATAATGGTTTCATTCAACCTTCCTGTTAGGTTACTAATGGAAACCTATCCCCCAAAAAATGTGTTTTTATCGAATGAATCAGTTTGATAAAAAGGTTTTCGTATTTTCAATACAAAATCTTTTTTTCTCATATATATATATATATATATATATATATATATATATATATATATATATATATATGTGTGTGTATTCCGCGACCGTTATCGCCGAATAGCAGTCTTCTATGTCAACATAACAGAATATCATCGTTGATGGGGAATATCTTTGTTTAAATATTATCCGTATAACCACTCTTCATCTACCCCAGTTAATTTAAAGATAATTTGATGTAAGCAGGTCATTACTCTCAGTGCAAACAATTATTTATATACAATTAATTATTTCACAATTAATTTTGACTGTTCCCATATTTATTTTGAAGTTATTTATTTAGCCTATTCTGTAATAAGCTGTCTGGTATGACTAGGACTAGCCTACGTCGTACATCTGTTTACAAAATTACTTCGTCTAAACTATTCTCCACTCGGACAGTTTTAACCAGTTTTTTCTGTGAGTCATCTTAACTAAAATGTTATCTAATGTGTCTGGAATCTATATAAAGTAGTTGCATAAATATCGCTCACACAAAACAATGGTAAATTACAAAAAAAAATACCCATCTTCAATTATTTTGACAAAAATCAATAGTCATCAAGAAGCTTTGACTACTAATAAACCAAGAAATCGTCATATAATTGAGGTCTGTATGATGCTTACTAATAACCTCTATATATTTTTGATACTGCACGATCTATGGAATCCATAACTGTCACCTCTTGATAAGATAGTATACATCTTATTTCAAGGAAACAGGAAAGGGTACTTTATATCTGAGCACATTTTATATCTGACTTAACCCAACTTAAACATTGCGTATAAATTCGTCTGGTTTCGAGTAACCTCGGGTATCGACATACAGCCAATGAAGGGTGGAGTGCACAATGACACAAATGTTTTTGTTATATTTCGTGGTAATAGGAATATGGAATGGACAAACACGGTGGATAAATAGTAACAGGTTTATTGTGGAAACCAGTACAACAAGCAAGGAAGTAATAGTTATGCGCACGGTCGTCGCAAGTCAGTACAGTTGTGTGCGCTGCTATTGGAAGGCCGCTAATTCTCGCAAATCCCAGCTCGTCTCTCCTGTCCTAACGGATACTAATACGTAGTTACCACCTATAGGTGGGAGGTTATTCCATTACATCAGTTGTAATAACAACAACAAAGGTGAAGACAATAGAAAAAAACATAGAAATCCACATAGATATCATATAAGTAGTATTTCTTCAGTGTCTTGTTAACTCACCTGGATATTGTTTCTATTCTCTTATGTCCATTACTGGTTTGCTTGTTATCTAAGAAACAAATATACATGTTAAAATAAGTTTCGATATATACTCGTGCTAATCGGTATTCTTGGCGTAGGACCTTCCGAAGGGGACCGTGATTTTCGAATTCAGCCGTTAAAAAGAACAAAAATTTGCGATGTACTGTCAGGAGGGCCAGACTCGCCCAGTCGCATCCACTACTCACATTCCTCTGTGTCTCCTTTAGGTGTCAGCGCCACTAGAGGGGAATAAGAAGAGAGAATTACGATCCGGATTCTCGGATGGGAGCAGGAGTCGTCTATAGAATCGTTTATAAATCGACTTTATGTATTCTGCAATTCCTGACTTATTTTTTTTTTCTTTTCTTAAGTATGATTTTTTTATATAATAACTCATGTATAATACTACGGCACTGGGCATTATAATGGACATATTTTATAGCTAATAAGTTGTTATTCGTTCTTTTTTTGTAAAAAGATACCCCCTAACATGGCGAGGGCAGCCACCTACCGTAAAATATCTCATATGAACATTTAAATACTGTAATTTTGTTGGCTGTTATTTAACCTCTTCAAAGAAAAAGTTTGCTGCGGATATTTCTTGACAGATGGCAATTTGTTAAACATTCAACACATTTTCTTTTGTCTTTATTGAATTTCTCTGTTCACAGATTTGTGCACTGGTCCAATACGGTTGCTTCGCTACAACCCGCATTATTTTACGTTCCCTTCGATAAGATATGTTGTTAAAAACCCTTTCTTTTCTATTTCTGTATCTATATTTTCAACAACCTTCTTTCACTTAGGATGATTTCTACGAAACTCATTTGATGTATTTAATGTTGACATTCATTCGCTCAATAAATTTGTTATTTTCTGTTTTTCAGCATTTCTCAAATCCTTTCTGTTAATCATGTTTTAATAAACATTGTGGAAAAAAAAAGAAAATTAGTTTTAGAGGCCTTAAAGTAACATTACTTTAATCTGCATAATAACTTCAGTCAGTCTATTTTCGTAAATCAAAATATAACCATTAAAATGCCTAAAATGTAGATATTTTACCAAGTATGAAAACGGACAAGCGTATATACTCGTATGCAAGGCAACTTAATAAATAGTGCGACCCTTGATTTTTTTTCTTATAGCTGGAGTATAATGCAACCTCTGAGCTATACTCGTAAGCCTAACTTAGTCAGATATTGCAGTACTGGGCGTCATGCCGGATAGATGTTATAGCAAATAAATTTTCTTCTTTCTTTTTCTTTTTTTTTCTTTTTTGTAAGAAGCTACCCCGAAATGGCGAGGACAACCACATATCATAAAATATCTAGATTTAGATACCATCCATTTTTTTTCGTTCATGCGCGATATTTGGCCTTTTCAGAAAAATGACGTGTGTATAGTGCGACCTGCAATTTTTTGCATAAAAAAAAAAATAAAACAAAAAAAAATAATCATAAAACCTCAGACTATACGCGTGTATGTAAGAGACAAGTGCCGTTATCAATGATATATTTTAATTAAAAAGAATACCCTTTTTGTCTCCTTTCACGACTAATGGAGAATGTTTTATTTTTGAGAAACTTTTTCCCATTGAAACCAGTTTATTAATCCGAATAAGCAGATAAACGTTAATGATGTCACGTCTCAAAATATCGATCAATAAATCAATAAATATATAATTAATCTCGAGTTAATTATATCCGACTGCTTGCACACGTATCGAGACAATAGATAAAATCCTTGAGAAGTAATAATAGTCGAAGCGATTCCTCGGAAACAGGCAACGGCACTTTGTGTCATTCGCTTTTTTTTCGAAATGGCTTGCGCACGATCTAATTACTAACGAGCGCCACTCTTCACCTCATCCCCCAAGTAAGACATGAACGTCTTCAGTGAGTATCACTCCGGGGGAAAAAAAACTGCATGTTACAATTTTAAAAGCTGTAAATTAAAAGAAAAGTTTAAGTGTCAAATCTCGCCAGAACAGTTGACGAGTCATGGATTTTTTTGTTTTTTACGACATATCAACCTTTTTCGGGTTTTTAAAGCTAGAAAATATTTTTAAATTGTAAGAAATTTTTTTTCGGTATACGAATTTGTTGTGGTCTTGTTAGGACCAGAAATAAAGACACAAGAGAGGAATTGAGTTAAACAAATATATTAACAGAAACAATAATACAAACATATACAAACAAGAGTGTTCCAGCAAGAATGTTTTGTCAAACCGTCAGAGCTAAATGCTGGAAACTTCACCCCTGCAAAAGGCAGTACCTGCTCCTATTTATAGCTGGGAGAGTTCATGCGTGCGTGGGTAAATTGCCATAACAGAATGATTTAGCGATTATTCAGTTATGTGCCATGAGTGATACATGCTTAGGTGATCATGTATTTTTAGATACATGACTGACGAGGCTGATTATTTCCCGCAGTAGGTTGCCATTTCTTTCTGTGATAGACCTGTTACCATCCAAGGCTATAGAACCAAGTCTGTCCCGTTATTTAACTATAGCTGGTGGGAGAAGAAGAGGATTCATAACTTTTCCAAGGGTATTAGCACATAAATGAATGTAATGGATTCGACTGGGATTCGAACTCGGTTCTCCGATTCCTCAGCGATTTAGCGATACGAGACTAATTAATCAATAGCTTGGGGAGAAAGGTAAATTCACACCTTTCCCAAAACTATTTGTGTGGAAGTGAATACAACGAATCCGAACGTGAATGGAACATGGCTCCCCCATTAACAATTCCAACCATCTTACAGCACCTGGTATTCACAAGCGATCACCCATCTAGATACGGGCCAGTCTCAACCTTGCTTAAGTTTGGTGATCGTATTAGAACCGATGTTCCAATATGATATGGCCGTAAGCCGAAAAGGTAGAATAAAGGTTTACTGGTAATATCTAAGTAAGGTCTGAAATTACTATGATTTTTCCTTTTCTTTGAATCCGTCCTGAGTAAGACGATAAACTATATCTGCGTCCTTGGTAAGACGATAAACTACGTCCAACAGTAAGGCCTCTGTTCAGCAGGTTTTGAGGAACGTGGAACCACCTCTTAATTGTTAGTGTTCCCAAGTTCAACCTGACCCGGGGTGGTAGCACCTGGTTGCATCTATGGGCAAATAGTCAACACTTAAACTGCGGTTAAAACACTATGAAACTGTAAAAATAGGTTTTAATACAAGAAATACATTTTTGTAAAAATATTTTATGAGAAATACATTATTACCATTTTTGAAAAAAAATATATTACCAGCAATACATTTCTGAAAAAAAAAATATTACGAACTATACTTTTTTTGAAAAAAAGTATTAGCAGCAATAGATTTTTAATGGAAAAAATATTACCAGCAATAGATTTTTGGGAAAAAAAATATTCCAAGCAATAAAAGTTTTGACGGAATTCTAATATCTATTGAGGTTGATATGCCGTAAAAGGAACCAAACCAAAAGAAATCTTCTTCGAGATGAGCAACGAATTTTCTCGAACTTCATGAAGCTTATCATTATTCTAAACCCGACGTTTTTTATATACAATCCATCACTAAAGATAGAGGTAAACTGATCGGCAGTTAATTCCTGACTCCTCATCCTATCCTTTGACTTTATAAGAACCAGATCAGGCCGAAAATTGACTACTGTTGCCATATTTGGGCTTAGAGCTGCCTAGTCCTCACTTTCCAGTCATGATAGATTTCAAAAACGTCTGCGTGTATTTGTTGAAAAAGAATTACTTTCCTCTCTTCAACCTCTCTCTCGCAGGCGGGGTGTAGCGAGCCACTCACTGATCTATCACTACTTTCGAGGACGAACTACATTCCTTGGTTTCCGCCAGGTCTAAACTTCACGGCTATGATCTGCCACTTACATAGTAGAAAAGCACTCACATTCCCGCCGTATTCAAACAGCGAGAATTTCACTCAAACAGCATCTTCCTTGTAAACAACTGTTCTGCGGAACTGACTAGAAAAAGGATGTTTCTCCGATCACTACAATCTTAACCTATTCAAGTCTACAATTAACCGTTATTTCCCCACCCCCTCCTATCCATATAAATAACCCCTTAACATAACCCTCTACCTTGAGTACCCCTCCCCGGGTCATGTACAGAGAGAATTTTACAATAAAAAATCTACACGGTTTAAAGGATGCTTATCGCTATATTTTAGCCGAAAAGTTTTCCGGTTTTCTCTGTGCTTGGAAATTATAATCTGGAATTGGAACGGAAGCAGGGAGTGTATATTAGAAATTCAATCTGGAATTAATAAACGTTAAACACTTCAAATATTTCAATGTATAGATCAGTTATAACAAATTTAGTATATGCAAAGAGAAAACTGATCATAGAAAAACTTCGGTCGGCGGTAGTTTTGCCGACAGTTACAGAAACAAGATATTAACACAACAATCCTGGTTGTTTTCTTAAATAGCCTCATAAGATCAAGATACTTGTATTGCTGCCATATCAATCAGTTCAGTGTCATCTGTGATACACACTTAGACGATCAAGTGTCTTTCGATAAATGACTGATTAGGCAAAAGTTTCTCCCGCATTAGGTTGCCATTTCTTTCTGCAGTAGATTCGTCGACGTCCAAGAGTCCATGACACAGTTTTCCCTGCTATTTGACCCATAGCAGGGGGATAGATGGATTAGTACCTTTCCCACGGGATTTTCGCGCGTAAGTGAATGTTCTCCGATATTTCGTTCCAAGCCGATATCCAGTACAGCACAGCACAGTCATATATGTCGCTCTAATCCTTCGAAAATGTCTAAGCTATCAGCTCAGTCTGTTTCATGCGAGAACGGAATCTTCAGGTCTGAAAACCTCATTGTCCACTTTTCTATTTATGCACTAGTTCGGATATTAAACATTACCTTTTTACCATATATATATATATATATATATATATATATATATATATATATATATATATATATATATATATATCTTTCATGCACATTTCATTGAATACGACAGACAAGGTACTTTGATTTAGCTTTTATACAATTTCTCATGCGATCTAATAATTATTTTTCAGATGATAAATTATATAAACACTGTCCGAATGTTCTTTTAGTCCGAGCGCTTTCGGCTATACATTTAGCCACTTTCAAGGATGAAATATTTTAACTGGTAAATAAGATATAGTTTGTTGCATGAATGTATTTATATAATGATTTCATTTTTCAAAACACGGTCAAGATATTGTGTCCATGTTCATAGTTGATATTATTGAGTGATTTTGTTTTTTGCTTTTATTAATAAGGCTTCCATTATTTTTAGCCTTTTTTTGCATGTAGATGATGCTATTTCATTTGAAAAGAAAAAAATATTAGATTTTGAATTTTATAGATTATATTTTTTATTTTGAACTCATGGCTAACTCCCTAAAATCAAACTAGTGGAAAAATATTTGTGGACGAGGAAAATTACAGCTACCACTATCATAAGAATACGATGATGAAACAAAAACATTTTTACGATGTGTAGAGCTATCTTGCATCACCGTAAAACTTTAATTGCATTTTAAACAAAAATAAACTTTTAATTATTTATTTTATTTCTCATGATTTCTACCTATGCTTTTTGTTAAAACTTATGTTAATTGCCATTAAAAGCTTAAAAAAATTATCAGAGGTATGCAATTATCGAGGGACGCATTTATCTAGGGACACAAATGCCCGGTATGAAAGTGTCTGGTACGCAATTGTCCGGGACACAAATGTATAGTACGCAATTGTCCTAAAACCACAGACAAGATGATATTCTACATCACAATGCAAGGTAACGCCCAATTTATGAAAAAATTTCATGAAAAAATATGATCGTTAGAAGGGGAGATTCTCCCATATCCTCTTTACTCCATGTCTACGAATTTTTATTTGTTTCGATTGCTAGAATATTACATAAGGGGAAGATCATTCAGGAAAAAAAAAGTGAGCCAAAGAAATTGTTTGAATTTTTTCGGAAAAAGCTATGGCTTTCTTAAAACGTGGTATAGACAATATGCCGTTTCGTTGCAATTGCAGGGATTGAGGCTGATAACAGTTTTGATAAATAATATTTAAATGCTTTCTATTTACAAGCGTTCTTAAATCTAATCTGGTAAAAGAATACTTTCCAAACGAATAAATAGTTAAATAAATTTAACTTACATTTATTTTTATATTTATTTTTTAATCATTTCACCCCAATGAAGACAATAAACCCACTAAGACATAATGAGTTAGAGAGCCTGAAGAAGTATGAGACAGAAAACATTATTACGGAGGGAGAACAATAAAAGAGAACGAATTAAGAAGACCGAAGGTAACGATTGACATCGTATTTACATTTTAAAAGGTCAAAGTTGAAGTCAACACAAGAAGCCGGAAGAAAGTTCCACACGTTGTCTTCTAAATTCCCCTTCTACTATTGTTCATAATAATATTTTCCTTTTTCTTATACCCTTTCACACTCAGTAAACGCATGCATCTTAGCGGCTTTATTGCCTTGCTTGTGTTAAAACGATTAAACAATACCACAACGCCAATATTAAAGTTGCTTGTGTACAAGAGATACATAATTTTTGTAGTGATTCCACTTTCCACTTCATATACAGTGTCTATTTGAGAGGACTGAAAGAGAAAAGGCAATATGAAGTCGGAATTGCAGCACCTAAATCTTCAAATTTTGTTATAGGCAAATTACACCATTGAGAAAGACTGATGGCTCCAGATGTTGTGCATAGCTTTAAGTATGAACCGAAAGTCCATGCCTGTAATCTTTCGTTAGACAATGTTTTGTACATTTATATGGACAGCTTTGAAGAAATAGGTCGTGAACATTTAAATATATTGCAACTCATCACTAAAGACGATACTGGTACAAACAACTGATGAATATTGGTTAGCTTGCAAGTGGTCTGACACTCAAGTAGACTGGTATAGCCACCAAGTTCAACATGGCGCTGCGAACAAGATCCGATGAGTGGCAAGAGCTCCTTATCAAAATTGGCATTCCAGCTGACTCAGCCAGGACTTATGCTGAAACTTTTGCGAAGGAAAGCATTACCAAGGATAACCTTTCTATGATAGACCGGGAATTCCTCAAAGAACTAAGTGTCACAACCATAGAACATGCCCTAACCATCCTGAAACTAGCAAAGGAACAGCCTTTGACATCAGATAGCTACACAAAGGCTCCTGCAGTTAAACTCCCTCAGCTGCATTCAGAGATGACATCACAGCAATTCCGAAAGTTCAGAATTGACTGGGAAGTATTTTTACGAATGACAAACATACCCACCTTGACTTCTACAAGAAGAAGAAGAAGGTGTGTATACCAGATCACATGTCATAAAAAAGAAAAATATTACTTAATAAAAGCCACACCACTCGAAAATTTTCAAGAACAGCAACAACAAAAATGGTTAGCATATTTAACTAAAAGAGAAAATTTCATTAACAGAAAGTTATTTTTCCAAACAATCAAAAACAAAATGTCTGCATGAAAACTCACAATAAATTTAGAAAGTGCTATAACAGTTATTGGACTTGAGGAATCTAATTTATTGAAAATATGTTTTAAGAAGTTTATAAATTTCAACAAACATGAAATTAACTTTTCAGTCAATGAATGCAAAATACAAGCGTTTTATCAGACCAGTGATTAAAAAATGGCCTCCAGCTAATTAATGTTTAAGTCTTAAAGAAGCCGGCACTTCTGCAAACTCTACAGATTGGTGATACAAAATCTTAAAAAAAAGAGATTTGCCAAAAAAAAAAAAAAAAAAAAAACAACCTGATTTGACATCTCGTCTACAATCACTTTCTCACAGACCTGCTGTGGCTCGCCTCTGTTTTTTCTACAAATATTTTCATC